CCGACGAAACCGCGATCAAGTCCATACAAGACGAGTTCGAGGCCATCTCCGGGATCCAGGGGGTGGTGGGGTCAATGTACACGACCCACATCCCGATCATCGCCCCGAAGATCAGCGTCGCGGCCTACTTCAACAAGCGCCACACGGAGCGGAACCAGAAGACGTCCTACTCCATCACCGTCCAAGGCGTGGTGGGCCCCACCGGGGTCTTCACAGACGTGTGCATCGGGTGGCCGGGCTCCATGCCCGACGACCAAGTCCTGGAGAAGTCCGCCCTCTACCAGCGGGCGGGCGCCGGGCTCCTGAACGGCGTCTGGATCGTCGGGAACTCAGGGTACCCGTTGACGGACTGGGTCCTGGTCCCCTACGCGCAACCGCACCTGACGTGGGCCCAGCACGCGTTCAACGAGAAAATGGCGGAGATACAGAGCGTGGCGCGAAACGCTTTCGCGCGGCTCAAGGGGAGGTGGGCGTGCCTCCAGAAGCGGACGGAGGTGAAGCTCCAGGACCTGCCCGTGGTGCTCGGGGCGTGCTGCGTGTTGCATAACATATGCGAGTTGAGGAAGGAGGAGACGGAGGGGGACGAAATGGGGTTCGAGCTCGTCGACGACGAGATGGTGCCGGAGATTCCGGTCCGGTCGGCCGGAGCAAGGATAGCAAGGGATACCATTGCTCATAACCTTCTCCATCATAACCATGCCGGGACATCTTTCCTATCATGATGATGATTATTGTGTTATGGTTTCATTTTTAGATTCTTTTATATTATGGTGATGAAAATAATTTTATGGAGTTTTGGTGGTATAGATGTTTATACATCAATATGGGAAATTCAAGTGGGGTTTTTTTGCACCATTATTGTTGTATTATTGTACCATCCATTTCCCAACCTATAGAGTTTTTGTTCTCCAATTGTTTTGAGAGATCAGATTGGTTCTCTATATAGGATATGATGATGATAAGATATTGTAAACACATATTGATCCAATTCACATTCTATACTTTGATAGAGTATGTAACAATTATTAGATGGCTTTTGGTACACTTTTATTGATGTGTTATCTTTCTCACTAATGACTCCAACTTTATCTCTTTTTACTATTTCATCCATTTTAAAACGAAATTTTCATTTGGATTGCCCTTGAAAAATGGCATTACTAATATGGACTATACTTTGTTTAATGAAGGTGGACAATGAATGTAGGTTGATACAAAAAAAAAGTACTCTCTTCCTTCCATAACTTTATTTTTACCCGACTTTTCACCATCTCTAATGCAATACTTTGATTATTACTCCCTCCGTCCGGAAATATTCTTCCCGTGTTGACTTGACACGCTTATTAAGGAATAGTAAAAAAATGCAAAATTTTCAAAAATGCACATACTATAAACTTTTAAATCTCCTTTAATTATTAAAAAGTACTAAAAAAAGTAAATTTGTGATAAAATAGAAGGGTATTATTGATACTTATCATTAAAAAGTATACTAAAAAAGAAAAATGCAAAATTTTCAAAAATGCACATACTATAAACTTTTAAATCTCCTTTAATTATTAAAAAGTACTAAAAAAAGTAAATTTGTGATAAAATAGAAGGGTATTATTGATACTTATCATTAAAAAGTATACTAAATTTAGAATATACGGAGTACAATTATGATGTTTCAAAACTACGTTTCGAAATGAATCTATTGGCACAATTCAATTTTTTTTCCCCAAAATTTATGGTCAAAATTTAGAAAAGTTGACCAAAAAAATTAAAGTGAGAAGAAATATAAGAAATCACTATAAATAAGACTAAAACACAGAAAAAATACCAAAATAAGATTTCCATTTTTTATTCTCTAAATAAGAGTTCGCGTTGTGATAATGTAGCATTGTACATGTGCATTTTATGTAACGTACATGTACAGTGTCTGGTAATGTAAATGCATATTAACTCCTATATCGAAAATAAAAACATGAAACTCTTATTTTGGTATATTTTCAATCTTTTACTCTTACTTTAGTTTTTTCTCAAAAAATATATAGGGTTGGGGGAGTATTTGAATAATTAGGGGTAGTATAACACTTCGTATTTTTAATGAGTGAGGCAAACCAAAAATAGAAATAAAATAATAGTTTAAAAATATTTTTTACTAATACAAAATTTATTATATAAGTTTTATATTTTAATTTATCGTATATTTTTATACAGAGTAGATAATTAGTTAAAGTACGGTATAGGAAATCAAGATATATGGCTAAAAAAAGGAAGAAGTAATTATACTCTTTCCGTCTTAATTTTAATTACAATTTTATTTTTTCTTTTATTTCGATAATTTTTGTTTATTTTTGTGTTTTTATTCATTATTTGATAGAATAAATACTCTTTTCTTCTTTTGTTTAATTTTGTATACTTTTTTAATGTAGTTTTTAATATATAATTTTTATTTTTTATTAATATACCAATTTATAAATAATATGATTTCAAAGATGGTGAGCATATCATTAAATGTCAATTCATAAAATCTAAGCATATCCTCAATTTGCACCATTCACTCTATCCATTTTCCAAAAGTAAATGAATGGATGTTGCTTTAATGATGATACTTTTTATATAGGAATACTCCCTCCATAGATATTTAATTTTCTGGGTTGCTTTTCAAATTTAAACATTGACCGACAATATTTTTTAGGAATATTTGCAAGCAAAAAATATTTAAAAAAATAGATTTAAAGTATTTTTCGATCAATAATTTGAATTAATTTTTATATTTTAATTTATTGTATTTTTTACACAGAGTTAGTTAAATATTTGATATACAAAGTGAAACAAACAATTAAATAAAAATGGAAAACGTAAAAACTTTGGTCATTTTCTCAATTTCATACATTTCTTAAAGTCTGCGATTTGGTTAAATACACATAAACCAAAATGGATGAATATTGCTTGGGTGATTAATTGATTATTTCATAATTGTAATTCCCTCTATCAACATAAAAATTTCTCTTTATAATACTCTCTATATCTTTTGGGTTTTGGTATTGATATACAATGATTGAAAAACACTAAATATTGCTATAACTTTTTTTAAACTTATGTGAGTATACTAAGAGTGACTTAAAAAATGTTTCAGAGTGATTAACTTATTACTAAATTAATTTTTTCACAAAAGCAAAAATATTTCACATTTGTTTTTGCCCAAACTACTAATTGAGAGAGACGAAATAATGATGGTGATAAAGGTCAAGATGGAAGTCCAAAGGAATTAATTAAGGATACCGACAAACTGCGAAAATAAAATCATTAATCACGGGCTTGTTTAGCGGCTAAAGTGTAAAGAACCAACCCAACTATAGGTAATTATAATTATCATTACTCCCTCCGTCTCTAAAAAATTGTCACATTTTAACTTTTTAGTCAACTTCTAGCACATTTTCACTAAGAATTAAATATAATTTAAAATGATTAAATATCATAAAAATTTGATATTTCAAAACAACGTTTTAAAATAAACCTAATTTTACTAAATTTACAATATAATTAATTTACTCTCTCCTTCCCATTTTATATTGCTCATTTTGACTTTGAGGTATATTTAAAGAAGAGAGAAAGTGGTGTTGATTTTTCAAAAATGTCTTACTCTTTTTATGGGGGTGATGATGAACGAGAAGAAAAGGTTGAGAGGAGTGGTTTATTTTAGGGGTAGTTTATGTATTTTACCCTTAAAAGTTTATTATTATAAGAAACATGCAACTTATTCTAAGACGGACAAAAAAACAAGCAATTTAAAATGAAACTGAGAAAGCATTATTCAATGTCAAAAAATTTACAATTCGACTAAAAAAATTAAACTATGACAATCTCTTATGAAGAAAGAGAATGTTATTTTTTTTGAAGAACTAAAGGTAATTCTTTGTACAACGTGATCAACAAGAAATTCGGCAATTTTAATTCTATTCCCCATCTTATTATCTGTCTTTCTCCCAAAATGTTTTCACCTTTGATTTAACACGATGAATAAAAAAATGAAATTGCATGAAATAAGTAATGCAAAAAAAGAGATAAATTATAATACTTTATGCTAACTTTATAATACTAGTTATTCTGTAAATTTTATTATGCAAAAGTAGCAAAAGTTATTTTTATAAATTAGGAAATTATTTTTTTAATCTTATAGACATTGATTAGGATAATGATGATACTGACGACGACGACAACAATAACAATAATAATAAAAATAAAAATAATAATAATAATAACAATAACATTTATAATAAGGATAATATGAACTTCTTCCATTGCTTGAGTGATAGAAAATTCATCTCCCATCATTCATGGAGAAATTCACCTAGGTTGAAAAAATTAAAATATTAAGAAGAAACTAGAGGAAACTGAAAGAACTAGAAAAAGTAGAAGAATTAGAAGAAATTGAAAGTTAAAAGTTTAAGCACTAAAAACATGCTCTAAGTCAATTTTTTTGTTTTTTTAAATGTAAAGTGGACAACATAAAATGATAATCCAAATAATGTTAGACAAATACAAGAATAACAACAACCCAACGAATCTCACAAAAATTTCAAGGGGTGCGTATCTGCAAAAAGATTGTTTCCAATAGCCCTCTAGCTCAAGTAACAGAGAAAATACAAGCACAAGGAAAAAAAGCATACCCGTAGAAAAAATTATGTCACACAATTGTTGAAAATGATTTTGAGGATTGCTATCGATGTTTATTTGAATATTAAAAAATACGGGCATGGCATACATTTTAGTATTTTACCTCTCTTTTTTTCTCAACAAAAGTGAAAGAGAGACAACTCCTATTTTTATTATTTTTCAATCTTTTTATAGTATTTTTCAATTTCAATGTTATATTTTCCTCACTCTTTTCCCTCCTATCTTTTTTTCCTATTGAACCAAACACTAAAAACTATTCCAAAAACTATTTTCCTTCGGTTTTTCATTTGCCCCTATTCCAAATTCCATGAACCAAACAACCGAACAGTCTAAGCAAAACATCAAACACTCTTTACATAGGAACTTCAAAAAAAACCCAAAAAAAAAAAACGTGCCCGCTTATACATATGGGTCTATAATCATAACTGAGAGTAGCACATAAAATAGGATCCCCCCCCCAAATAAACAAAAAAATAAAAAACTACAGGACACAACCATGATAAACTACTGTGTATATAAACGTATGTATGGTGAAAACTGCAGACTCTTATCCCACTGAGGAAAACCATGACACAGACCATTTCCTATGAGTCTTGGGGTAAAAAACAAGAATAATTAAGAGTAAAATGTCTTAATCACTTCCCTTCTTGGCGTCTCCCTTCTTAACCTCATCAGATGTTGCGGATGAACCTTTGTCTTCGGGCTTGTCTTCTTCTTCTTTGCTTTCAACGCTCAGCTTTTCGATAAGTTCAGAGACAGAGTTTGCCTCTTCGCTGTCATCAACTTTCTTCTCAGCAGATGTTGCAGATGCGCCTTTGTCTTCGGGCTTGTCTTCTTTGCTTTCAATGCTCAGTTTTTCAACAAGTTCAGAGGCTGTGTCCCTGTCATCCACTTTCTTCTGTTGCGCTTCGGCTATTTCTTCAATCTTGTCTTTAAAAGTTTTGCAATCTTGAAAAAAAACAGAAAAAGTTGGAATAAGCTAATTTGTGTGCGCATACCAAACACATATAGTTAGTTGAAAGTGCCTATATTAGTTCAATATTTGTTTGAGAACAAAACGTTGCAACCAATGCTTGATATTTCTTCAAATAAACATAAAGTTTTGCCAAACTGGAATGAAAAAGAAAACATACAGATTACAGTTTTGAGGATTTATAAAGGGGCAAAGGGCAATAACACAACCCTGCCAGATAATCACATGTTTATGACATCCTGGAACCAGACGATAAACCAGTTTACCATCTTCCCAGCCCATTGTGGCTAATTGCCACACAGAAACTACTATAGTAACTTCAAAACCACCTACGTTTTTTAGAAAAAAAATTGTTTGAGAAGAAACAATTGGGACAAAAACCCTAAAAGCTACTTATATTGGAGGCATGAGGAATTCAATTTTACATCGGTAAAAAGAAAAGTTCTCTATTTCATTTCCTTGTGATTCACACTCTACTGTGATTTTTGGAACTCTGTCCAAGAAAAGAATATAATCCAACTAAAATTATTCTTAAAGGACTGAACGAGAATTTCATCTTGATTCATGTAGGCAATCCCAGGTTACTTGGGATACCGCTTAGCTTTTAACATTATTCTAATACATTTGTAATCTACAAAACAAGAATGCTTGAGATAACTGTGAGAAATTATAAAAAATGATGTTTCAAACAAAAGATTGATTGAATTTCAGACAACGTGACACCACGAGAATTTGAAGTGTGACTGCAATACATGAAAAGTGAAACTTACTCTCAATAGAAGGAAATCTGATACAGAAAGTCTCTTGCTTAAGCTCTCCATCAGCAAAATCAGCAGCATGCCAAACACAAGATTTTTCATTCCCAGCATGTTCTTGCAACGTCATCGTAGATAGAACTATAACAAAGTCACAATAAATAAAACAGAATACTCCAGTGTGCCAAATAAAACTGCACGGAGAGGAAAATAAAACAACAATTTGAAGTAGAAGAAAAGCACTAACCCAAGTGATTGGCACAGATTTTAAGTGTTTTTGACTGCCTCATCACAAGCCTCACTTTTCCATTTTCTTTGTGCTTCAAGAGCTTAACAGTGCCAACTCCTCTTTCTTTCCACTGATTTCCTCCATTATCAAATCTATACAATTTTGCTTTTCTATACAAAGATGATCAAAAGCATAGCCCCCATTAGTCCACAAACCAAAAGGACTGAATTTGCATTCATGAAAACAAAATTACATTACGTAGTGATTAAAAACTAGGAACTTATTTGAATGATTGGATTTCATTTCTAAATATTGAATTCTCAGATTTTTAATTACCAGTAGAAGCATATGGGTTTGTAATTGGGATTTACTGGGAGTTAAAGGGATTCAGCTCAAATCCAATTTTTTGGATTCCCAAACAAGTAATTTGAGTCAAATCTGAAATTGAAATCTAAATTTAAGTTCCCAAACAGATCATTAAAGAATTTAAAGCCACTATAGAAGTTCAGAACTAAATGCAAGTAAAAGTTAAACTAAAATGATTTAATGATGCTCCTTCTCCCTATAAAGATCCACCTTAGATTATCTCCCTTCTAAACGAACATAATTTTTCTCTTAGTAGAAAGCGACGGAGTATACGTGATGCAATTGCAAGAAGAATTAAGAGGCAACACAGAATAGGCAAACAATATGTTAGAATCGTGATTAATAATCGAATCGAATACTAACAGATCCAGAAGGACGTCCTCGTCCTCTTCACCAGTGGTGACGGCGACTTCCTGGAGTCTGACGATGGGAGCAACCGGAGCTCCGGTGTCCTCATCTTCCGCCGGCTGGTTTTCCGTCGAATCCTCCTCCTCCTCTTCCTTCTTCTGCAATGTGGGCTCTGTGCTGCTCGCCATGGCGGCTCTGGAGAGTATTCTCTGCCTGCGGTTTTTCGGCCGTGGAGTGGCGGAGATGTAGGGTTTTCGTCTGCAGATCGTGGGGAAGAAACTGTACCGCTTTAATTTAAAGCAAACCTTTGAGGCCAAGTATGACAAATGGGTAGTGTCGGCCCAATTCCAATTTATGAACTTTAAACAATTTGACACCAAAGTGTGTTGTTATAATGTCATATTATGATATCGAGTTTATTCCGCCAACACCCCCAAAAGTTTGGTAAATATACATAGGGTATGTTTGGGAATAGCGTTAGAGATTAGCGTTAGCGTTTTGGATAAAATTTTAACGATGTAAATTGATTTGAAAACGTTAACGCTAAACGCTGCCCGTAAATAGCCTTTTGAAAACGCTAACGCTAATCTCTAACGTTATTCCCAAACAGACCCATAGTTGTCTATTATGGTTTAAAATTTTACATTATTGTTCCTTATGATTTTAATATTGTTATGTCAATGCTTTTCTGGACAAAATATCTTTCAAATATTAGGTGAATAACTTCGATGCCCTCTATGATTTTAAAAATGAGTGTCAACGCCCCTCTCCTTTTTCTTTAATATTTTTATTTTTTCTTATCTTTTTTTGAAGAGAAGAAAAATGTTTATGTGTGAAATAATGAGAAAGTTATTTTTTCAAACCTACATTTAAAAAAAGTTTTAAAAAATAAAAATTGTTTCTGTTTGAAATAAAAAATGAAACAAAAAAGTTAACATATACTTTATTTTTCAACTTAAAATTTTCATTTTTTTCTAAAAAGTTTTTATCTTTTTGAATATGTCGGGACCAAAAGAATTCGGAGTACTAAGTAACGTCTTTTTAGTATATAGTTAATTATATACTAATAACATTTTTTAGACCAATGAACAAAAAATTCTTTCATGACGTAATTTTACATATTTTACAAAAGTATTTTCTGATATACTTTTCTTTTTCTTTATTTTCTTTTTTATTCGTTTTTCTTTTATTTTAATTTTTATTAAAATAAAAAACAATGTAAAATTAATAATCAGAAAATGAGAAATGAGCTTTAGTAGAAATAAGAGAATCTTTCATTGAGTTTCGTATCATGAAAGTAACAAATAAAGGCCTCTTTTGGATAAAAAATGAAAGTGCTTAATTTGAGACAAATTTTGTATACGTAAATTCTTGTTTATTACAAACACACACAAAAATTGATTATTAAAACATTATAAAAAGAAATTAAAAAAATAGTAGAAAACAAAAAAACAATAAAGAAAAGAGGAGAGTTTGTGCTAATTTTCAAAACCATAAGGGCAACACAACTATTCACTTAATATTGAAGGATACGTTAGTCTAGAGAGGCATTGGTGCAATAATATCAGAACCATGAGTAACAACAATGTAAGTTTTGAAATCCTATAAGGTAAGAGTGCATATTTGTTAAATCAAATGAGATCTTGGTGCAATAAACTCTAATGATGTCATGCAAATTTAGGATTCTTACCATATTTTTGAACACTAATAACTCTATTACAATTCAGTATCTGTTTATACATTTTAAGCTTATTGAACACATAAATGAGGGAATTACCATTGATAGCGATGGACTACAAAATCATTGACTATAAGCATTAGAGCATGGGCAGTGACGTGTCAAAGCCACTGCCACGTATGCCAGCTCAGCATTCTTACTCCTTTTCCATGGCAAAGCATTGCAATTTTCCTTGCAAGTCGTGGCAAGGGCGAGCCACTATTTTCTCTCTTTTGTTCTTTTTTTTTGTAAAAAAAAAGAATTTTTTTTCTTTTATTGAGATAAGAGGCATTGTTTTACATTTTTAACCCTTTCTTTTTTCTTTACAATTTATTTTCTTTTTCAAAACAATCTAACCTTTATTTGAGACTAAAAAATATACATTTTTAAACATTAATATTTTATGTGAAATTATATAATTTAAATTAAAAAATTTTAAAATTTAATTTTCTCTTTGTACAATTAAAACTTTACAAGAAAATGCAATAATTTATAATAAAAAAGCACGCATTAGCTAATTAAAATATGTCAAAAATGTTAACATTGCCAAAAAAGATTACAATTTTTTTATTAAAATAAGGTAAGTAAAATAATTTGTGAAATTAAAATATATTAAAAAGGTATAAAAAATGATAAAAATGGTGACTTGCCACTGCAAGACATGCCACTCCACTCATGTACCACACGCTGACTGGACAGATTTTGATTGACTAAAATACTCCACGTCATCGTATGACATTCCATTTCTTACTTGTCATTGTCTATGCTCTTATTCAACGCGAATGTGATTCATATCTCTCTGATCTTTCTTGCCCTCCTCCCAATCTCTTCTTGTTCATTGATTTGTATGTTGCTACTAAATCCACTCTTATATGTCTGTTGCCGCTCATACATTGGCCTAGCCCATTTGAAATGGACCTCCTGTAGTAGTTATATCAATCTCATTTTTTTATTTTGCGAATAAAATTTATCTATGTTATACTCCGTTCGTCCCAAATTATTTATCACATTATGCAAAATAAACTATTACTAATTAAATTCATTTTTTGTGAACATGCTGACATACATCCCTTCGCCTTAGACCAAATCTACACAAAATAATAATTAAAGTCATGTTTTTTCACGTATTATAAGGTAAACAGTACGTTCCTAATAAGTTGGAGTGACCCATTTGGTCACTTCCACCAAAGCAGGATTAATTTTTTTAGGTTGTGGGCAACATATTAAAACATCCAAAGTAGGATTACTTTTTTGGATTGTTGGCAACATGTTAAAGACAATGTTGGTTAGACATCTTAATTAGACTTTATCCAAAGTTAAGCAAATGTGTGATGATAAAGAACTTGTTCTTCAATTCATAATGTAAAGTGAACTATTCGCCTATTACTTGTTCTTCAATTCATAATGTAATGTGCACAAACACGCACACACATTTATTATGTTAACAATGAAAAGAAAGATAATTTGTGAGACAGAAAGACTGTATCTTTTTGAAATGAAACATGTCGAGAGCTTCTCCATACAAGGAGCATGTACTATGAAACTAGATGTTTACTTATCCGATCTGATGTCATTTTTTGAAGAGCTGATCTGGTCTGACCTTATTGCAGTTATAATTAAAACTGTTTTAGATCTAATCTGATCTGATTTGGTCTGATCTGATTATAATAAGAATAAGTAATAAGCAAAAAAAAAATAAATTGAACGGAATGTTGTCTTAGTTCAATGAACACAACCTCAAGCAACAAAAGTAGCAAAATGAATCCTCCTTTATTTGAGTTCATATAGTAACTAGTCCCTATAAATAATAACTCTATTAGTGCTTCGTGCGGGCGAGTAGTAGTAGCTCCTTCACGGCCTCAGCCAGTGGGCTCTCATTCCGAATGCTCTGAACCCACTTGGCGTTTATATCGACCCTCTCCAGGCTTTGCTTCAGGCTCCTCGCAATGAAAGGCTTCGTCCTAGTTGCAAAGAACTCCTCCACCTCTTTCGCTTTCTCATACGACGAAAACTGCAAGAGTTTTATAATAAGAGGATGGTTGAATAACACTCCCTCCTCTCTCCCAAAAGTTGAAAATGAATCTAGACGCGATATATGTCAATATTCACTCAAATCTTGATTACTTTAAAAGTTATAATGGTTGGTTAAATGTAATGAGAAAATAACTTTTGTGAGAAAATAATTTCTGTGCTCTCTAACTTGCAAAAGACGTAAAAACCAGTTTTTTTTTTGGAAAGCAAAATGTGATTTTGGTGGTGTGAGGGATGGCAAATGTAGATGGAATAATGCAAGTTTGACACCACGGATGACAACTGTTTGTAAATTTACACACACCCACACATGATATAATTGTCTGGGAACTTTGTGTGTTCACAAACAGTACAGTGAACAAATCACACATGACTGTCATCCGTGGTGTCAAACTTGAAACTTGGGGAGGCAGATATGACTAACCGGTGATACAATTGCGGAGACAAAGCGGGTGACCAGAAATCCAGGACCATAAATATGGCATATGTGATCCCAGTTGTCCTGCATCAGAAAAGGTCAGTGATCATTCCAAAGCAATATATATTTGGCCTCTTCCAAGAAAAAATAAATAAATTAAGGGACTAATATTTACTGACTTTAAACCAGCTCCAAGCAACTTCACGTCCTTCGAAACTAACATCAAGTCCAATAACGGCATCTTGACTCCGGACCTAAATACCATAAGAATGGGAACACACCAGAAATTTTAGGTGTCAAGAAACCTTAAAAGAAGCTGTCAAAAGTTGAGAATAATACCTCTGATGACAACAGAAAGTTAAGAACTTCAATAATGAGTTCAGGGTCCCGAGAAGATGCCAATGAACCTAAGAACCAAAACCAAGTTAGCCTACATACTTTTTAACAAGGGGAGTCAGAAAAGAATCCATTTCCCCACCATCAAGATATAATATAAATAATACTCCCTCCGTCCACAAATAAACTTTACGTTCACTATTCACAGAGTCAAACTTTATTCACTTTGTTGGTCTATTTTCGTCACCCATTTGATAAAATAATATAGTCATGTCACCTCTAGTTTTGTAGATCTTTTGATATAGTTTTTTAATATGTAATTTTTATTTTTTAATTCTACACCATTTTTCATATAAAATGATTTGAAAATAACTTCAGTCAAACATCGTAACGCGTAATGTAAAGTTTAATTTTGGACGGAGGGAGTAACTATTATTATTATACTAATAATCTGTAATATTAAGGGTCCGTTTGATATACGGAATTGATTGAATTGGAATTGAAATTTCATGGGATTCAATTCCATAGAATTGAATTCACCAATTCCAATTCATTTTTTGCACTATCAATTCCAAATTCACATAATTTTTGTACTAACAAACACCAGAATTGGAATTGAAGTTCTCAATTCCAATTCCATAGATTGAATTCCGTATACCAAACGGGGCCTAACGGATTGGACAGTCCTTCCATCTTGTATTACTATAAGAATGCTTAGTGATACATTTATTATTTTTTGTAATCCCTTAGAAAAAATATAATGTCGT